ATACGGGGGGTAGTTACATGTTAAATAGAACTAAATATTTGTATAATAACAATAATAATATATAAATTTTTCTAATAAACAGTGTAACAGTACTGCATCGTTAAAAATAATAATATATATATAAAAAGAAGAAGGGGAAGTTGTACAAGATAGGATATTACCTCGTCCCGGGGAGATTTAACCGATGATAATCATGGTGAATTTAGTATTAGAGAATTTCCGTTATATTAATAGGGTTATCACGATCAGATGAAAGCAATGTCCGCTCCCATTTTGGAGGAATTAAAGGATCTATCTACATGTCTAATAAAAAGTTCAGAGACAAAGTGACTTTCACTGTATGCGAATTATACGTGATCCCGTGTAATACTAGTACGTATAATAATAATTGTTTTTATCGTTTTTTCGATGTACTTATCATAAATCATAAATCATATATACAGTATACATAAATATTTAAAATGAGTGTAATAATAAATATGATTAAATAAATGAATATACTAAATCGATATAATAATAAATACAAATATAATATATATTAATAAATACTAAACATATTAATTAAAGAAAAGGGTAGAAGGTATTATATACAAGCCACTATTGAATAAGAAGTGCCGCCATTCCGGTCAAGTCCAACAAAGCAAATCTCGCCATATTGTTTCCGTTATCAGCACTTTTCTTATACCATTCCAAAGCTTTGGTCATGTTTTTAGGAGTTCCAATACCTACTTCGAAACATCTTGCATAATAAAATTGTCCCAAATCATAATTATCATTATTAGCAGATTTGCCGAACCATTTAAAAGCTTCGTCCTCATCTTTGGTAACTCCCCATCCCAACTCATAAGCATTTCCCAAATTAACTTGTCCATATTTACACCCTGCCTCGGCCGCTTTTTTGAACCATTCGAATGCTTTGGACAGGTCTGCCGTTGTTCCCACTCCATTTTTATAACAAATTCCCACTTTATTCAATGCTGTGATAAATCCTTGCTCGCCAGCTTTCACATACCATACGAATGCTTGGGTTAAATCTTTTTCACATCCGTTACCAGTTTCATAATATAATCCTAAATTGTATTGACCATATTTATCATCTGCTAATGCCGATTTTTCAATCCATTGGAAGGCCCTTTCTTTATCTACCTCAACACCTGTTCCCATATCATAACATAACCCTAATTTATTATAAGCTGGTACAAAGCCACCTTCACCAGCCAATTTGAAAAAGTTAAAAGCTTCAGTGGCATTTTTTGGGATTCCTTGACCATATTGCTTGTATAAACCCGCTGTATACGCTGAGAAGCCATTTTTTGGTGCTAACTCTGTGTACAATTCGAATGCCTTTGGTACATTGCATGCGGTTCCAATTGCGAGTTGATGAAACAATGCCAACATAACCTTATTGATTGTTTTGGATTGATTTGTGTTAACGAACTCAAAAACTTTAAATTCACTTTGACTTGTTTGTTTCAAATAATCTAATATATAAACATCATTAACTTTAGAAATGTCCATTTCACATTTTACGACCTTGTCGTAAATTGTCTTGTAAAATTTAGTGATATATTCTTGGGTTACTGGAACAGTATTTTGCGGTGTTGTATATAATGATGAATCACGCAGAATAGAGATAAGCTGACTGGCCATTATAACTGAAGACAAGTATGAAGCTGATGTCGAAGCTGATGTCGAAGCTGACGTGGATGTTGTTGTAGCAGATGTCGAAGCTGATGTCGAAGCTGACGTGGATGTTGTTAATGCTGAAGCTGATGTCGAAGCCGACGTGGATGGTGATGGTGACGTTAAAGCTGATACGGATGACGATGTTGATGCTGAAGTATTGTTGGTTGGTTTAACTGGCGTTTTTGATGTTGTGGTGGTGGTGGTGGTGGTGATGGGAATGTTAAATAATTTAGGTGGTGTAGTGGCGGTGGTTTTGGCCAAAGCTTCGATATTTCGGTTAGGTTTTGAATGTTCAGATAATAAAAACAGTAAAAGAATGAGTAAGTGATTTTTGAAAAATAATTTTCACACGTAAAACTTACTGGAAGAAAGTATCCGAGCGCATTTCTTGATTATTCCGCAAAGTTTGGATAACAAAAAAAATCAGTTAAAAAACAAACGCAATATAAATTTAATATTCTTTACTTGAGATTCATATTTCTATTCTCCTTGGTATGCTTAAATATGTTTTCTTTGAGAATTTTTGACTGCTCCGTCAAGAAAACAGGTTTCAAATATTCTACATATAATTTTCATAGTTTTCGTGTATTAATACGTGTATGTTTTTAAATATATTCTATTGCTATACATATTATTCTATACATATATTTATGTATACTGTATATATGATTTATGATTTATGATAAGTACATCGAAAAAACGATAAAAACAATTATTATTATACGTACTAGTATTACACGGGATCACGTATAATTCGCATACAGTGAAAGTCACTTTGTCTCTGAACTTTTTATTAGACATGTAGATAGATCCTTTAATTCCTCCAAAATGGGAGCGGACATTGCTTTCATCTGATCGTGATAACCCTATTAATATAACGGAAATTCTCTAATACTAAATTCACCATGATTATCATCGGTTAAATCTCCCCGGGACGAGGTAATATCCTATCTTGTACAACTTCCCCTTCTTCTTTTTATATATATATTATTATTTTTAACGATGCAGTACTGTTACACTGTTTATTAGAAAAATTTATATATTATTATTGTTATTATACAAATATTTAATTCTA